CCAATATAATTTAAAAAGTAATATTACTGATATATTTGCTATAAATCACATAACAGTATTTATTAAAAGAAATGAAATATTAATGTATACTCTCAGTAGTTTTAATTTGCTAAACCAGGTAGTTTTTCAAGTAATAATCGTCTCTTATGTGAACCGAGGAAAAATATAATTTCCTGCTTTATTTTTTTCAATTTATAATTTTATTTTCACTAAATGTTAAGTAGCAATGTAAACATTTATGTAATAATAGATTAGTACACAATTGTATGTCAACACATTATTTATTACCTTAAACTATCTGGAATTTATTATTAAAGGGTTGCGTTTGCATGAAATTTACTATCGTGGAAATTCAGCTTTTTTGCCTTTTGGCTAATCTCATCCCTGTTCTATGAAAGTACCAATTTCATTAGAATGTCAACTAACTGATATGCCTTCATAATTAACCTGTAGTTATTTAAATTTTATAGTTTTTAAGAAATCTTTTTGTCTTCGAAAATACTAATATTTTACGAGAAATAAAATTGAATGTTACAAGGTTCCAGCTCTATTAAAAACTAAAATTTAATGAAAAAATTTATTTCATTTACTTATGTAAGTTCCTGGCTAACATAAAAAGATTATAAATCTGTCTATAAATCATTGAAATAAAAGTTTTAATATAAAATATTTATAAATCTGTCTATAAGTCATTGAAATAAAAGTTGATATATAATATTTATAAATCTGCCTATAAGTCATTGAAATAATTTTTTAATGTAAAATAGTATAATGTTTTTTTAATGTAAAATATAATACTTTTCATTTTTAATTACTATTTTCTCAAAATGCATATTTTGACTCTTTGGGTACACTTTTCTCAAAATCTACTGTATGTAGAATTATAAATTTTGGTACAGAATTTGTTTATGTATATATCTACATAGTAGACCTAAAATAATGAATATATTCTATAAAACATTCATTTAGCATTATTGTTTCAAATTTCAATCAAATATTTAGGTTTACATTACAGAATCAAGTCTTTTCTAGTAAAATGTTAATTTAGTGTAATATTTTCACTCAATTTTTCGCAAAGTGTACTTCTGTAAGTATATTATTTAATTTAATATTTTTTTTAAAACTACTGAAGTCATCTGCAAAAGTTTTACCCTTTACCAAAAAAAAAAACTAACTTACGTTTTTCCCGCAGTTCTTGTATCATATTTCTTGTTTCGATGTCATCACTGCTACGTTCACTTTCTTCCTCTTCTTCGTTGAGAAGTTTCAATTTTTTCATAGCTAAAAAAATATAACACAAATCTAAGGTTGTAAAAAAAATTTTAAAAAATAAATAAATACATTTATTTATTTCCAAAAATTATTAATTTATTTAATTTTATTACATTTATTTATTTTTATTTATTTATACTTTATAATTTATTTATTTATACTTTTAGTAAAATATAAAAGTTTATTGTTTTAATTTTTTTAAATTTATTTCAGATAATATTGTTGCTCATCAGTGCTTCAATTCTACAACCACTATTAAGTATTATAGTTTACTAAATTTAATGATTATATTTTAAAATTTATTGTATTGACTGTATTATATATTGTATTTAAAAGATGAGTTGTTGAATATAGTCAATTTTTTCAATGATGTTTCATTTTTATGATAATTTAATTTTGTATTTAATAATTTTCTAAGTTAAATAATTTTTTTTAAAAGCTATTGTATTGCATTTTTTTGTTATTAAATTATTGACTGTTATGCTAATGTATATATGGGTCGTTTATATATTATATACTATCTCTTAAACATCTGGGCTGAAGAATAGTTCATTTTTATAATTTATAAATATTATTTTTAAATATTGACAAAAATATTTTTAAGAAAATACATGTTAATTTATTATTAATTTTAAAACTCTACGTTATTATCATAATATTTAAAACTTAGGCTGAAGCAGGCCACAATGAGCATTTTGGTCAAAGTGATACCCCCACCATGAGTGGATAATAGAGGGCCAGACATTTGAACTGTAACCCTCGGGGACCTGTAACCAAGGCTAAGTTTCAAGTATAATACAGTAGGGAACCGATTATCCGGAACGATCGGGACCATCGCTGTTCCGGATAACTGATTTTTCCGGTTTTCTGAATCGCTACAAAAAGCCGTTCTTTTTATTGTTAACACCAGCTAAAAAAAAATATTTGGAAATAATCTTAAAAAGAAGAAAAAACGATGAAGTAATACACTAATGATTATTTCCAAAATGATGGTAAGGTAAACATCTTTCAAAAAAGAAAGAAAAATTCTAAAATCTTATGAGAAAAAAAAATTTTTTTTTTTTTAAAAATGGCTGGAAAATTTGTTGAATTTCGTTCCGGTTTCTTGGTTTTCCGGTTTTCTGATTTCCGGATAACGGGTTCTGTACTGTATCTATATTTTATATGTGACCTACATACAAGGTTTGTGATTTTTTTTTAAAAAATCAAATTATTTTTTATTTAAATTGTATTTTTTGATTTAAATCAGATTTTTTTTTATTCAAATACACTACAAGAGAAACTTTATAAAAACTTTATAAATGTTTAATCAAATTAAATTAATATTAAAACTATATAATAACACTATTTAGAAGCTCTAGCTTACTGAAATAATTTTTCATTATAATGCAAAACTAACTATTTTGATACAAAGGCATTATTGAAATTAAAAGATAAGATAAAATAGATAATTTAAAGAATACTACTTTAACAAAGTTTTAATTAGCGTATCATAATTTTAATTTAAAATTGTGATCTCTTTTTTTTCTCATAATTTATTAAATGGCAAAATAAATGCAACAGATTATGTTTATAAATGTTGTCATTCATTAAAAAATAAGTATTATAATTTTATGTTACAATATTCATTTTTAGTCTTATATCAAAATACATGAGGTAAACATTTTAAAAATCTAATCTACACATTGGAATCACAAAAGAAAATCTGATAATTTCTAAGATATATATTATGAAGAAAAAAAAATAGTTAATAACCCTACTGCTTCAAATAGACTTAGAAAGGGAAGAAAAATATCTGAACTCAACTTTGTTTCGTTTTATTTTTTGGCATATTAAAGTAATTTCTTTTTAATATAACCTCAAGTTTTAGAAATATAGAAATTTCCATCAATAAACTATAATATAAATTTGAATTCCATGAATCAAAAGTTAGAATTTTAGTTAGCATTTATTTTTTTTATTTTTTAAAAAAAATATTGTTTACTTTTTACAGCTATGCAAGTTTATATTAAGACAGCATTAAATATTTAATTTAATCTGTATTTTCAATGTTAAGCATCAAAAGATTTTTAAACATGTAATTTCAAATGTGTTTAACACACACCAATAAAGAAAGTAAAGAACTAAAATTAATTAATACATCAATTTATTTAAAATAAATTTTAATAATAAAAGAAAATATACTTTATTATAAGCAAAACAGGTTCGTGGTCCGAAAAACAATCTAAAACCTTTTTCAGATGAGTTTAAGTTTTGACTAAATTGTATGTATGTTCCAAATTTAAGTCATCATTTTTTAATACACTCAATTTGAACAGACTCCATTGTGAATCTATTTTGTTTTTAATGCCTTTTCAACAGTTATTGCTACTACATTATTTCAAAAAACTTATTTTTTAATACAATACTAGGATAAGTGAATTTCAAATTTTATTCATTATTTTTTATATGTATATTTGCTATATATATTTGCTAATTCAATTATTGATACAAGGAAAAATTAAGTGAAAGAGTGTTTTTTTAACAAGAAATTTATTTTATAACAGATTGTACTCTTCAATTGATGTGTTCAACTGTCAAAAGGGGTTTGTCACAATGTAAACAAACTTTTTTGTATAAAAATTCAGCAGCAAAATTGAATCTTAAGTATTATTTATTATTATTTCATTTTTATGCATTATTATTTATTATTATTTCATTTATTAAAAATGAATTCAATACTTTAAATTTAGTTATGATATATACAATATTTAAAAATATTTATTAGATAATATTGTAAAGTATTTTAACCATATGCTTTTTTAATTGTAATATTTTAGTTGTATTCTAAGGCTTTTTTTAAATATTAACTTTGATTTTAGTTTTTTTACTGAGTGTTCTAAAGTGTATAAAAAATAAAACTGTGCTTGGAAAAGCTTACTAAGCAATACTTTGTTTTTTTTTAATCAAATTTTAAAATACAAAATTGTTATTGTTAGACACAATATTTTAGAAACTCTAGCATTTTTGAAAACTTTAAAATTTTTTAGAAGGCACACCACAGAAATGTTTAAACAAATTGTTAAAGCAATAAAATAAAATACTTTTGGAATTTGGCACCCTGCTGCCTTAATCCGGTCCTAATCATGCCTTCTTTAATTTAAATTAAACTAAAAAATATTTTTTTTTATAAAATACAAAATTTATAAATACTTACTCAGCATGGATTCCACCATGGTTCCAGTTTATGTTGAGAATCTGTTGTTGAATTCTATTTATACTATTTTATTTATTAGAAACTTCCTCAAATTTTCATGACCTAATTGCATTAAAAATAAAATAACAGCTGAATGCACATAAAATAATTGGGTTTTTTAATGCAAATTGTAATAATGTATAATTTATATGTCAAATATTTTTGATACAATTGAAAATTTTTTTATAAGAAGACCTTGTATTTTATAATAGTGATTGGAATTTTTCCTTATAAGACCTTGTATTTTATGATAATATAAAGATAAGAATTTTTTCTTATAAAATACTTTGCATTTTATGTTAATATAGAAACTGGAATCTTTAGTTAAAAATATGTTTAAAATAAATATTGTATATTATATAGGGTATATATTGGTTTAAAAAGGACTAAAATTAACTGTTTTTTAATTATAATGTATTTAATTTGGTTTAAATCAAATATAGAATAGTTTTATTAAAAATAATCAAATAATTTTATATATTAGATGGAAAAGACATAATTCTGTCTACTGAGCAAATTTTTGTATTATATAACAAGATAATCTAAAATATTTACAACTCAGGAATGAGATTAGCCAAAAGGCAAAAAAGCTGAATTTCCATGATCGTAAATTTTACACAAGCGCAACCCTTTAATAATAAATTCCAGACAGTTTAAGGTAATAAATAATGTGTTGACATACAATTGTGTACTAATCTATTATTATATAAATGATTACATTGCTACTTAACATTTAGTGAAAATAAAAAATTACCAATTGAAAAAATAAAGCTGGAAATTATATTTTTCCTCAGTTCACATAAGAGACAATTATTACTTGAAAAACTACCTGGTTTAGCAAATTAAAACTACTGAGAATACTTTTAATAAATACTGTTATGTGATTTATAGCAAATATATCAGTAATATTACTTTATAAATTACATTGGAAAAAAAAACTTTAACAATAGACTGATTCATTATGTTCATATTATAGTCTAATCTAACTAGAGCCCTTTGAAACAAATCACTAACAGTGAAGTAGAAATATATAGTAAGTCCTTAACATACAAAAATTGCTATTTTAGTTTGAAAAAATACATGACAATCAGCAACTGTTTAGATAACTGTTTTTTATTTGATAAGAATTTTGCCTTTTATAGCATAAATAGCAGCAATTATAAATAAAATTTTGATGATGAGTTAATTAACTCTTTTTCCAAAAAAAAAAAAAATAATTTAATTAAATCCCTTTTTAAGTGATTGCTTTTGTTTGCTATATCTTTTATGTTTGCTATATTTAGTCGTTAGTCCATCTTCAAACATCTTGTGACAAATCCTATTTTTTCTTCTTTGCAAGCACAGAATGTAAGTTTTGAATATATTCCCTTCCAGTTTCTCTGATGTTGTAACACTTACATATACTAATAATCGTCGTTAGAAAAACAGTCACCTTTATAGTAACTAAATTAAAAAAAATTTACTTCTTACAAGAATCGCGATAGTTGATCTTAAAATTGCGTGAATATGAATAACAATTATGGATTTTGAAATCACATGAATATGAAACTAGATATACGATTTTGAAAATGAGGAAATACAAACTGGGATGTAGAATTTTTAAAACGCGTAAATACAAATCACGATTCATATTTTTCAGATCGCGTAAATACGAATCATGATGCGTAATTTTTAGATTGCATAAATAAGAATTATGATGCATAATTTTTAGAATGCGAATCCTTATTTTAAAATCACGTATAAATAGGAAACTTAATGTTTGATATTATAAACTGCATGAGCAAATCAAGACATTAATTTTAAACTTGCGTGAGTGGGAATCGCTATATAGGTTTTTAAAAAGGCGTAAATACGAATCACAATATCGGATTTTTAAATCTCGTAAATAAGAATCCCAACGTACAACATTCAAATCGCGTGAATAAGAATCGCAACATGCAAATATGAAAACCTATGTTTGATATTAAAATCGTGTGAATAAGAATTGAGATATTAGCAGATTTCAGGCTTGTCAGAAGCAGCGTCGTTTGAACTACAAAAATCGGATCTATCAGGAGGGCGGGTAAAAAATTCGGAAAATCTTATCTGCTGCGAGTAAAAGGGGAGAAAATAACTATAATAAGTAAAAATGA